ATGAAATTGACATTAAAATGGAAATCAAACATATAATTTCATCCCAAACGATTACAATGGAGTCTCAAAGTAACCACAATCAAAATCTAAAGTGACTAACGTTGGAATGAAGAGATTAGCCACACATGACTAATCTAGGGTTAACAAACTAAGAAATTAAAGAAATTACCAAAAGTGATGAGAAATTGATGGTGAAGTCCACTCAATCGGCTCTTGCTGTCTCTGTCTTCTTCAATCGAACAGCCACCTCCTGTCCGCCCCCGCTCTCCAACAGCCCTCGTTCCTTATATAATGAACCAGCCTCCATCTCTTCATTCACGTTCCTCTCCGATCGATCGATCGCACCCAACTTTTCCATCTTGAACCCCACGAACTATAGTCTTCTCCTTTCCTCACGATCCCACATTCTTCTCCTTCGAAACCCACGTTCTTCTCCTTCAAGAAACCAGAAAAGTTCATCTGTTTTTTTTCTTTTTTTAGACTGCTGCTGCAGATGGGTTTTATTAAAAACATTTGATAAAATATGCTTCCTTTTTACGCCATTTGAATTCGTATGCCCTGTCTAGAACCCATTTCATATATATGCTCAGCCTCATATTCCTTCAGAAAACTATGCCTGACCTTGTAACAGTTTCGAAATATATGCTCTGTTTGTATTAAAATCCATCATTTTTGCACCCATCAAAGACCAATCAATAACTAAATTAAAGGGGTTCTATAAGCTATATAAACATTACAATATGTACTAGATTCATTATAAAAACATGTTTAAATATAAGCTTATCACTTGTGTTTCAAGTGTAGTTCTGTAATGGAAACATTATAGCATTTGTGCCAATATGAGTTTCAAAATAAGCCCAATCACTGCTCAGGATTCTTTACTTTGTTTGCACCTTTTTAAATTTATTTAATTTTGGGACGGTGAAAGATGTAAGGCCTTTTATCTCAAGTTAGGTGGGGTAGGCAATGGATTAAACTATATATAAGATTGAAAACAATTTCATTCGTTGAAATTGGTTGTTACCTTCCCATTCCCTTAATCTGAAAATATTAAATAAGTGGATTTGCAAAGATCTACTTACAATTTCATAAATTGACGGCTTACGCGGAGGATTTCATTCATTCTTGTGTATGATGGAATGATTTTCATTTCATCATAAGGGGAAGTATGTAATAATGAATGAAATGTTCAATTCTGAACATTATAAGGGGAATTTGATGTAAAGATCAAGGGGGAGTAACATCAAAGATGGTAAAAGACTCAAAAGGAGTGCGACTGAAGATGATTAAAGAAAAAATTTCCAAAGCTAAAATGACTGAGAGATGTTGAATGTGAAGATCCATTTTTTTTCAACAGTTTACTGAAGATCAACTTTGAAGTTTGTTATTGTTTCTGATCTACATTGTTAAAAGAGAAGATCATCGTTGTTCTACATTCAAGGGGGAGAATGTTAGAAGATGTTAGCTCTCATCATCTTTGAATGTAAAAGTAT